ACCCTAGAATATGAGCTCGGTCATTATGATTATTGTTAAATTAAGATAAAGGATTATCTTGCTACTTCATGAGCTCCACACTATGACTAGATTTAGGGATAATAATGGAACTTAAAATTGTTAAACCTAAAACTAAACCCTGACATGGGGCGAGTGGTGGTAGACTATGGTGGTAGTTTACCATGGCAGGGATGCTTGGAGAGGATTCATGTGGGAGATACTCGCCTCGGTCACATAATGACCGGTTCGTAGTCTCTCTCGCCTAGTGAGTTATTACGTACATCCACATGTCTATATGGGTAGGCTTGATCTCACACCCCGTTAGATAGAAGTATAATTTCTACTAGGAGGTCGGTGTAGGCAGCGGAATATCAGAAGCCGGCACGGGGGATAGGTTTTCTTCGGTGGTCCTATTGGCGTGGATGTTATGTGATCTTCCACGTTAAGCTTTTGATTTTTGGTCGCGTTCGAGCCCTTGATTTTCTTGGCCATGTTCGAGCCATGTTTTCTTTGGTGATGATTTGGTATCATCACGTTGGGGGGATTTGGTATTTTCCCGGTTTTTGTATTCCAACCCCTGAGAAGCCGTAGTAGAGTTATATGGACATCTAAGGTCGCGTACATTCGGGTATGAGGTCTCGTTAGGTCTATTTCGCCCACTGATCATGGATGAGGTTGCACCTATCATGTGAGGAAATTTGTACACCTCTATAGAGTTACTTAAACCTTTTCAGATAGCCACGTTCTTGGAATGGGCAAATGCTAGGATGGGATACTATGATTAGATTTACTTTTCTGTGTAATAAAATGGGTAATGGAAATTATGCTAATCAGGGTACTAGTGGGAATGGTAATACTCCGCTAGGACCCAACCCTTAATTATAATCACCACCATATTTCTATTTCCACCCTATGGTTAGGGCTTGCTGAGTATGTACGTACTCACCCGTTGTTGACACATAGACCTCGGCACGGAAGAAGACTATGACTTCAACGAGGAAGCATACCATGATGACTAGGATTCCCGTAAAGAGATACGTTCGTAGGAGTATGACATCGAGGCTAGGGTTTCGGCCGCGCTCAAGTTGCCTATGGAATAGGACACCGCTTCGCTGTATAATAATCCCGCTCTAGAGGCCACCAATAATGTCGTTTCACGACCGTAGTCTTTGGCTAGATATGTAGCCTATGACCATGCCCCTTGGCCACTATTGTAAGACCTTATTTCTAGATATCAATAAAAGCTCGAAACCTATTATTATATATCTGCATACCATTCTTATGATTGTGTGCGTATTTGTGCGTGATCCTGGCACAACGGATGCACTTAGGACTCTCAAATTGAGGGGCCGACACCTGGGAGTCAGGATGAGGGCGAGGACGCCGCCATCCACAAAACCCCAGGCGCGCCACACGCCCCGCCCGCTGGCCCCCAACGCACCCCATCTGTGGGCACCTGGCTCACTGCGCCCTATCCCCCGGCGCCTGGGCTGTGCCCCCATGACTCTCTGAACACATCTTAGAAACATGAAACACTAATGCAACATACATCTAAGGCAAATGAAACATTTGGAACATACACTTGAAACATATATGTGAAATATATACAACATCCAGATAAAATACTTGCAACACGAAAACACTTACTGCAACATAAGACTAAAACAATTGAAATCATTGGAACATACTCTTGCAATATGTGTGAAACATATGCAACATCCAAGTCAAAAACACTTGCAAACATACGTCTGAAAAACAGATGAAACATTTTGAACAAACGCTTGCAACATGCCTCTGAAACACTTGCAACATATACATGCAACACCCCGGTCTACTTTTGCAACATCCACATATGAAACACTTGCAACATACTTATGAAACAACTGAAACACTTGAAACATAGGGCTTGCAACATACGTTTTTCACCCTTCTTCCGTACGACGCAACGTAGAGCGGGGGGCATCGGCTAGCCGACGGCCGAGGATGGTGACGCAGCCTAGCAGTGGCCAGTTGCGCCTGCGCTTGGCCTGGGCCCAGCCAGCGACGGCCCCCTCTCTTGACCGCCTGGCTTGGGAGCGGTGGAGGACGGAGCATGGCATGGCACGGTAAGGGACGGAAGCGTCGCAGGGGAATGGGGACGCTGCTGGGATGGCGGCGGCGGCGCGGCAGAGTGGGGCGGGCGGCCACGCTGTGCGGCACGGAGTTGGGAGAGGAGTTCGGAGCAGCGTTGGATGGGGGCGGATGCGGCGCAGCCGGCTCCGGAGAAGGCCACGGCAAGCAGCCTCACGCTGTCTACGATGAGGAGCCTTGCGCTGAAGAAGGGAGCAGCGCTGTATTTTTTGAGAAGCGGACTGACGAGCGGCGCTAGATAAGACAGAGTGTAGGTGTCCGAACGAATGGACGCCCGCATCATATCATTATCGTACTGTTTAATGATATTAATATTTCATTCCTAACACAAACCAATTACAGGGCGTAGTGGCGAGGAACGTTCGGCGTCATATTATCATTATCTTACTGATTAATGATATTAATATTTCATTCCTAACACAAACCAATTACAGGGCGTACCGGCAATGAATGCCAACTACCATAGTTCTTGTGTTCGAACCCTCCCCACATAGAATTCAGCCCCTTAACAGGGCATCATAGAACTCCATATATAGCAACACAGGCATGATTCCTCCAAATTTTTTAACCATTATTAGGTCTTACCAAATGAAACGTGGTCGTCATTTCATCCATGCAGTAACATTTCACATAGTTAACTAAATTTAATTTGAAGCTACAAATTATTCTAATCCGTCATTTAGGAGAATAAAGTTTGTTTGATTTCTCAAGCTTAGGCTGTATACAACCATAAGAATCCATGATTTTATTACTTGTCTGATCGAGCATTAACAAACCGTCAAATTTACAAGGCACCACTCTATAATACTACTAGACAGGCTCCAACCAAAACTAGACCATAGAGGTAGCAGTCACCGTTAATTGCTGAATATCCAGCACCGCCTTATCATCATGGATCGCGGTTGCAACAAGCAGGAGGAACAAGCCCGTGGTGTCGGCGCAAGATGACGGTATGTGCGTGCGATATGCTCAGTCGGGACTTCCCTTACCCTACAAATCAAGGACGCTCGGGAACAGGTAGCACTACACCACCTTTAAATAGCGACTGATTTAGAGTTGCTGAAAGGGGTGTACAGCGATGGACAGTAAGTTGCTAAAGGTTATAGCCGGTACAAATGTGTGTGTGTGTCCTCTTGCATACCCAGCCCCAAATAAAGTATGCGTACAAAGGTACTTGAGCAAACATAGTGCTATTAGATATAAATAGCACAACCAAAATAGGTAAACTCTTGTTAAGCTGCTCAAATTTGCTTCGCTTGCCAATTTAAAGAAGCGGGGGCAGTGACAACCATAAGCCTTTGATAAGTTGACGGATGAAGCCTGGCACACTCTGCTCATAAGAAAGATCAACTTATGAATTCAGAGACGTGAAAGAGAGAACTACAGAAAGAGTGCAGAGATGAGCATTCAGTAAGAGCATAAGGCTACAGGATTATGACAAATCACATCGCAAAAGCTGCAAACTTTGCATAATGATGGAATAGACATAATAAAGCCCTTCTTGTCACTGATGTAGTGCTTTGAAACCTTAAATTTGTGAACTAAAGATGAGATAGTGCCAACTGTATGATCACCAAAAAATATTATTGAAATAAGGGAGTATTTAGTGGTAACCGGGCACTATATAACATTTTTCTCTATAATCAACATGTAATTAGCAAGTTAGGCTACTACCTTAAGAAATTAGGAAGGTAGATAAGAAAACAGATAGTGGTGAGAAGAAGTAAAATATGCAGAAATGAAGACACAATGAACCAATTTTAGAAGGGAGGAATCTCTACTTGCAGACTATAGACTATGTACACATTGTTGTTATAGTTTTCAGATTCAGAAATGGCACCAGCAGGAGGGCATGCGCTTTGTAATGGAGCCAAATATTGTAAGGCCAAATATCCTTTTTCCTAATCACCCTATGCAAGAGGAATGGCAAATGTTTGAAATTAGAAGTGGGCATGATAAAATTTTCAAAAAAGTGGTCTGATAAGAAATCATAGAATCGAAAGAATATTAGGGAAAAAAAAGAGATCTGTTTTAGTTGAGCTCCCTGAATCAACAATTGTCAGCACAGCCATGACCATGTGGGAAGTCGTTGATGTAAGTAGATAATGACCTGACAATTAATAACAAAGGCAATCAATGTGCATCATGTAAAATCAAATGTATGGAGGAAATATCTAGTGTGGTGACACAAAACAATTGTTGTGCTCATCGTTGGGGTACAACTGAACTCAAGAGTAATAAAACACATCACTTTTTTCTGCAGGAATAATAATTTTGTAAAGCCCTGGGCAAGTCTGTTGCATTAACCGGTAAGTGGTAGCTAACCTTGGCATCAACCATCACGAAGGGGGTTTTTGAGGGTCAAATCAATTTAAATATATGTTCGTTGTCAGCCTATTAACTTAGATTAGAATATGGTTTCTGAAAAACCATCGCTGTTTATTTAACTGATTCAGACAGGGAGAAAAACAACCTACACAGTGTGCATGCTCATTAGAAGTTGCCGTATTCACATTTGTTTAGGTCAGCTTACTACATCTGTTTTATGCTAAATGGCACTAGGAATCACGGTTTGCTATGGCGACAGTTGCAAAACAAATATTAAGCATCCATATTAATTGCTTGCAAAATAGATGCAGAGAAGGAAAAATAAATATAGCAAAAAGAAGAGAGATAGGTCCACTAACCTTGTTTAGTTCCTGCAATCTTTAATCCTCTCTACTTACTTTTGGCATCACAACTTATTCCACTAAGTGTAGCCAATGTTGAGCTTTCGTCTTATGCATGCAAGGTAAAAAGAAAGAAGGAAATAAGACGAAATAGGACAATTACAAACTCCTGAGGCTTGATATCAGTATAGCAAGTGCGTTTTATGGAGCACCTGGTGCACAGCCAGCATTTGCAGATGTAATTGTCTCTCCTGGGATAATATTCAATAGGTCCAATTGAAAACAAACTACGACAGTTGGTGCTAGTGTACCTTTGATCCTCCTGCATATCGATGTTGGCAGAAAGCGCATACAGAACACAGAAGACGCAGATACATCGCTGATGCTCAGCACCCCGGCGCCCAGGTGCACGCCGCCTCGGACCCCTCCATCGCCGGTGCGCAGGCCGACCTCAAACCCTAGCGCGGCGGCACACAGGCCGGCGCGGCCGCCCTCAGACCCCTTCATAGCCGGCGCTGAGCACCACGCGTCAGGCCCCTGCTTTGCCGCCGTGCAGCACCCCGCCTTGGATCCCTGCATCGCGGTGCTGAAGGACCGACATGGGAGCCATCACCGCTTGCGCTGAGGACATAGGGAAAAGGAAGGGGAAACCGTCAATTCCTGGACGGAAATTGCTAGATCCATGCAGAGAAGAGGAGAGGGGAGAAGAGGGAGAGACGGCACCGGTGCGGGCAGAGAGCCGACGCTGGACGGGGAACGGGGCGGCGGCCGTCGTGTCGCGCGGCAGCGGCGTCCGGACCTCGGCAGGAGCGAAACGCGGGCGGCGGTGGGTGGGGCAGTCGCGCCCGCGGCCACCGGCGGACGTGAGGAGCAGGGAGCGCCGCGCCGGAGGTGGTTGTGGCGGCGTGAGAGGGAAAATTTGGGGTTGTCAAAGTTTTGTACGGTTTCATCTGACTGGTGGGCTTTTTAGGCGCGAAATGGACCAGTTGACCACGCGCAAGCCCAATATATATAGCGACCGATGGTAGATCATGAGGCTTTAGCGATCGATCCTCCGACGATAAAGTAAAATAAAAATAGCGATTAACGTTCGTTTGGAGAAATGAGAAATAGTGACCCATCATCGGTTACAAATTTTTAGCGACCAACCGTCTATTAAGGGCCTGTTCGGTTGGTATTAAAGGCGGCTGATAAGTGGGTTTTGACAGATTTGTTGTGAGAGAAAAATACTGTAGACTCTAGCTGATAAGTCGGCTGAATAAGTTCAAGCGAACAGGCCATAATATTTTGATACTTTTAGCAACCCATCTCCTACATTATTTTTGAGTTGGGGTGTAGTGTAGCCTAGGTGGTGGTTTCCGCTTGCCGTGGCCCCTCTTGAGGTGCTGACAGCATAGAGTGACTGCACGGGATTTACGCCGTTGGGCATGACGAATTACGGTAGATTGAACGTGGCCCTGATGCATGGCTAACCTCACCAGCACGTCTCCTGTTTTTTTTTTTTAAGATGCGACACCAGGATTGTGTCCCACTGGACAACCTGCCATTGGACTACATGCCCTTTCCCAACACTTCTCCTGTGTTAATTGTTGATCGAGGGATAGGGATTATTATAAGGCTTCCAATTGTAATTAGCATGCACTAATCTTGCTTGATTTCATGTGACTATTGGTGTTGGTATAGATTGTCGCCCTGTTCGCTGGGCTTATAAGCCGTACTTTTTCAACCAACAAACAGTATTTTTCTCTCACAATAAATCACTCAACAGTACTTTCAGACATGGCTTATCAGTCAAACGAACAGGGCAACATGTATTGCAACTTGGTGGCTGCTACCTGTTGGTCCTTATATTATAAGCTTCCTAGCAAGGAAATGTTTTTTTTTCCTTAGAAAGTGTTTTGATATACTCTCATAATCAAAGTTGAATGCATATCTGAGTTACTGATCAAACTTTGCAGTCCGTGCGGCTAAAAAAAGATGCCCGGAAACTATCTTTTTATAGTAAAGCAAGTTCATCAGTATGTCGTCATGGTTCTGTGGGTATATTTTGATGTTAATGTTGAACCTAAACTCAAAACTTGTGCCCACAAAGTACTATTATCTGCAAATATGGTTATGACTAAAAGCACATAGATAAGTTTGCACTCAATTGAACCATCGTAACATGATAATCTTATACATTCTTGATCAAGAGTTTCCAATCTCAGTTTTATTCAAATTTTAGACAATATTGATTTTATAATGTCTCATTAAATAGTTTCCAATCTCAGTTTATCCAAATTGTAGACAATGGCGATTTTATAATGCCCCGTACACTAGTCTTTGGTTGTTTATACTAGGACTTTTGAAAACACGTGCATGTCCGCTAGTAAATTAAAAGATGATTTACATCCGCTTCTCTTCAGATATGATGATAAGGATTGCCAATTTGTCGAGGCAAAAGGGGTGGTTCAGAGATGGTGCAATTGTGTTATGTGGCTATTGAAATCCTATATGTCACTGTCACGTCATGACAAAACGAGTGGTACCTAAAATCTGGCACTGCAATTTGTAAACGTATAAAAGGGTCATGCTATGTTTCCCGGGTACTGAAAATTTCAGAGAGCGCCAACGTATCTCTTGCAAAATGTCCTTGAAATTTGTCATTTTTCGCCTGTCTTTCGAAACGTCACAACAAATGTATAATCTAGCTTGTCCACCATTTTTGCGTGATTCCGCTCACTACCAGAATCCTTAAATTTGCCGAGTGTTTTTTTGTTTGTTGAGTGTATTCTCTCGGGCACTCGACGAACAAGTTCTTTGCCGAGTGTTGCGCTAAAAACACTTGGCAAAAAAAACACTCGGCAAATAGGGGGAAAACACTCGGCAAAGAGGGGGTTTGCCGAGTGTTTTTTTTGACACTCGGCAAAGACGTAAAATATTTTTTCTGGGAAAGAAGGAGAAAAAAAATAAAAAAAATCTTTTGCCGAATGCCCAGATCTAGGACACTTGGCAAAGAAAAAAAATATTTTTTCTAGAAAAAGGTGACGAAAAAAATGAAAAAAAACTTTGCCGAGTGTCAGATCTGGGACACTCGGCAAAGGACAAAATATCTAATTCGCCCACCCCTCCCCCTCCCCCTTCTTGATTACCCCGCGGGCGCCCCGCAAAACAGCAGCGTGCCTCCCTCCTCCACTCTATCTCTCCCTCCCTCGGCGGCCATCCCCTCCCCTCCTCTCCTGGCGGCGCCAAAACAGCAGCGCGCCTCCCTCCTCCACTCTCTCTCTCTCTCTCTCTCTCCCCCTCCCTCGATGGCCATCCCCTCCCCTCCTCTCCTGGCGGCACCACCATCCCTCTCCCCACAGCAGCGGTGCCACCCGTCCCTCTCCCCATGGTGGCGGCGCCACCCATCCCAAACCCCGTCCTACTACGCCGACGTCTCCACAGCGACGGAGTTTGCGGCCACCGGCGACTTGCGCGCCTCTGCTCCCGGCGGAAGAGGTTTGCCCTCCTCTCTCTTTCTCTCTCAGATCCATGGTGGATCCGTCCCCTCTCTCTTTTGCAGATTCGCGGCGGGGAGGCCTCACCGGGGTCACGGGCATCAACTCCGACAGCGGGGGAGGCCTCACCGGTGGCGTTCCTCCCCTCCCTCCTTTGCTCGCAGGTCCAATGGCCGGAGGCCGGATCTCGACGGTGGGCGGCCGGATCTCCCTCCACCTTCTTCTTCCCCGGCGGCGTTCCTCCCTTCCCCTCCTTTGCTCGCAGGTCCGGTGGCCGGAGGCCGGATCCGACAGCGTGCGGCCGGATCTCGACGGTGGGCGGCGGATCTCCCTCCACCTTCTTCTTCCCCAGCGGCGTTCCTCCCCTCCCCTCCTTTGCTCGCAGGTCCGGTGGCCGGAGGCCGGATCCGACAGCGCGCGGCCGGATCTCGCAGGTCCGGTGGTGGCGCGGATGAATGATTATTGGTTTGCATCCATAGGGTCTGATTTCCTTGCTGTCCGGATAATTATTATTTTTTCTTTGCAAAATAGGTTTGTCGAGTGTATTTTGAAAAACACTCGGCAAACCAATTTTTTTTTGCCGAGTGTCAAATTTGACACTTGGCAAACCATTTACCGAGTACGCGATAAAAAACACTCGGCAAATGGTTGTTTGCCGACACACAGATATCGTGTGTTGTATGCCGAGTGTTTTTGGGACTTTACCGAGCGGCAGAGGCACTCGGCGAAACTACTGTGTCCCGTAGTGGCTCCTCGATCGAAAGTAGGCTCGGTTTTTTTGGATGGGATAACTCAGGAAGCAATCGATCGATGCAACAATCCAAACGCGCCACAAATTTCTCTCCCCATATGCGAATGTAGACGCAACACGCACTTGCAAGAATGACCGCCGCGGCGCTGTTCCCAGGCGCTCTACTCCAACAATGGCGACTCCCTGCAACTCTTGTCGTCGCAGTAGCCTTTTCTCTTGTTTCCATCCTCCTCCTGTCATGGTCAAGGACACGACGGAGCAGACGCAGGCCAGCCCTGAATCTGCCTCCCGGTCCGCAGACGCTGCCCCTCCTCGGCAACCTGCACCAGATTGGCCCACTGCCGCACCGGGGCCTGTGGGCGCTCGCGAGGCAGCATGGGCCCGTCATGCTTCTGCGTCTCGGCTCGGTGCCCACGGTGGTGGCGTCCTCGCCGGAGGCGGCGCGGGAGGTCATGAAGACGCACGACGTGCACTGCTGCAGCCGACCTGCAATGTCCGGGCCTCGCCGGCTTACGTACGAATATAAGGAGGTCGCCTTCGCCCCCTACGGCGACCATGTCCGTGACATGCGCAAGCTCTTCATCCTCGAGCTGCTCAGCATGCGCCGCGTCCAGGCTGCCTGGGACGCCCGGGTGGCTCAGGTAGAGTAATCCATGACTGAGCTACTAGCAATACTTCTACTGTTCTATATAATTGCTGATCAGCTGGTAAAAATGCGCACGCCGCACCAATTCTTTTACAGGCGGAAAAGCTCGTCTTGAACCTGACCCGTGCCGGAGCGAACCCGGTGGCGCTCAACGAGCACATCTTCAGCGCCGTGGATGGCATCATCGGCACGGTGGTGTTCGGTGAAATCTACGGCACGGAGCAGTTCAATTTGCAGTTCCTGAACATTCTTAGTCAAGTGATGGACATGCTAGGCAGCTTCTCCGCCGAGGATTTCTTCCCCAGCACCGCTGGCCGTTTCATCGACTGCCTGACAGGCGTCACCGCCCGTCGCGACAGGATATTCCAAAGGTTCGATGCATTCTTGGAAGAAGTCATTGAGGGGCACCTCAACACCGCTCACAGTGAGCAGCATAGCCATAGAAACCCAAGAAGATCAGATCTCGTGAAAGCACTGATTGGGCTTTTCAAGGACAATAATGCAAGTACGGTGCCTTTCACCCGTGACCATGTGAAAGCTATGCTCTTTGTAAGTTTATATATATATATATATATATATATATAATTTCATTATTAGTTAGTTCTCTCTAAATGACTATATTCATTTGGACTAACAAATCCACATGATGCATGCTAATATTCTCCCAGGACACTTTTGTCGGCGGCATTCACACTACCTCTATTACCATGGTGTGGGCGATGGCAGAAATGATCCAGCACCCGAGTGTGCTGAAGAGTGTGCAGGACGAAATCAGAGATGTGGTAGGCGGCAAAGAGATGGCTTCACCTGACGACGTGTCCAACCTCAAGCTCCTCAAGATGGTTGTGAAGGAGACCCTCCGGATGCATCCTCCCTTAACCCTGCTGCTTCCAAGGGAGACTATCCAACAAGTCAATATCAGAGGGTATGACGTTCCAGCAAATACAAGAATCATCGTGAACGCATGGGCAATCGGCAGGGACCCTGACATTTGGGAGGATCCAGAGGAGTTCAACCCAGAGAGATTCATGGGGTCAGACGTCGACTTCAACGGCGCAAATTTCGAGTTCCTGCCTTTCGGCTCAGGTCGCCGGATTTGCCCGGGGATGGCCATGGCTGTGACTAACATCGAGTTCATCTTGGCCAACCTGCTTCACTGTTTTGACTGGGAACTCCCTGAGGGGGCGAGGAAAGAAGACATGAGCATGCAGGAGGCTGGGAGTATGGCATTCCACAAGAAAACGCCACTGCTGTTGGTACCAAGGAGGTACCAGACTAGTCATTGAACTACTGCACAACTTATGCGTGGAACACAGATGAAAAGTTACGACAGTAGTACAGTGTGTGGTATTGATATTTGGTTGTTCTTATTTCTGTATCAATGGATAGATGTGTGGTAGAATGGATATTTTTATTTGATGTGTGTTTCTATTTGTAAATATGGGCCTGCTTGGTTCGCGATCAAAATTTGACATACCAAATATTTAGCAAGCCAAAGTTATGTAAAAAAATTGCCATAGATTTGACAAGCCAAATATAAGAAGTCCACAAGTTCCATGTTAAGGGTTAAAGCAAATCAAAGAACAAGTCAATTACGTCTACAAATTTTGTTGTTCTGGGCCTAAGGCCACCAGAGTGACGGCCCAAGACATGGCCCAAAACATCTCTTATACCCTCTTAGAATTTCTGGCCCAGTAAAAAAATGGCTCTATGCATTGTGCGAACACTCCCAAGCTGTCCAGAGAGACACAATGTATAGACCCTGACTGGCGACTTTGATTCGGTGACTCCCCGTCATCCAGTCCGCCTTCTCTCCTCCCGTCCTTCCCTGTTCTTGTACCTTTCCCAGTCTACTTAACCTTAGCCGTCAGAGCCAACAACCCGGCATCATGCCTTTGTGGGCCGAGGCCCGAGACCTAAGAAGCAGGGCCCGACAACACGATCAACACTTTTGGCAGAAAGCAAGCAATTTCCTCAAAAAAAAAAAGCAAGCAAACACCTAATATGTTGAACTTCCTATTCTGAAATGCATCTATTCGGGATCTATTTTAATGTGAACTCCCCGATCCAAAGTTCCATGAATGATAATTGATTATGTTGATATTTTTAGAGTTCTACAATAAAGGTCCCTTTGGGATATAGGATAGGAAAAATATAGGAAGAGGAAAAACTTACAAATCTACATGCCATATATTTCCATAATCCTATAGGAAATGAAAATAAGGGAAAGTAGATGAGATGGCATTTGATAGGAGACGGAGGCCCAAATCCTCTCTAGAAGAAACGGCAAGCCTGCGTTTTACCACCAAACATGGAAAACACACGTGAACAAACGGTGAGCCATGTGCGCGGGCAATTTCTTTTCCCATAAGGAAAGTTTTCAAGAGACCTGAGCTCTTGCTTTTTGTTTCTTATTATGAAATTTATCTATAGGATCCTATATGGAATTATCTCTCTGTTTCCAATTATAAGATGTTTTATCTTTTTCTAGATATATTGTTTTTACTATATGTATCTAAACATAGTGTGTATGTAAATACATAGCAAAAGTTATGTATTAAAAAAAACTAAAACTTCTTTATAATTTGAAATGGAGGGAGTACTTGCTTGCCTATTCTATGAACCAAAGGGAAGTATAGGAAAAAGAATTAGGAAGTTGAATCGTACAAAATGCCTTTGCCTCCAATCCAAAGGGGCCCTAAAGAGGACAGACATTAAAATTCCTTTTTTTCTCATGATCCTATGCCACTTATATAACCAGTGTCACAAACCAATATTCTTCTGTACAAGCATATATAACTAGAAGTAGTAGAAGAAATAGAGATTCACATGCTATTGTTGATGAAGATATAAGAGGTGAGGGTGAAACAAACCATCGTTAGTTAGACAATTATTTTACCGAATTCATGTGTTTCATCAATTATGTCGTGAATTTAAGCATGGAATTGAGATATCATTTATAAATATTTATGAGCTAGATCTGTTATCTATCGATATTTGACATGGTGCAGGTGCTATTTTGGTCTAGCACAAAAGCACATACGTTGTTTCGACATGATAAGGACGGTTCTCCCTCCATCCAGAAAAGAATGCAATTCTAGCACAGTGTCATGTTTTAGTATCTTAAGTTTAACCAATTATAGATAAGAAAGTATCAATATTATGATATCAAACAAATAACATTAGATTAATTGTGAAACGTATTTTAATAATAAATTGATTTGGAGATGTAAATGTGAATATCATTCACTACAAACTTGGTTAAACGTAAACCACTTTAACTGACACGTAATTCATAGTTGTATTCTTTTTTTTTTCAAACACAGGGAGTATATACATTTTGATGGTAGCCCTAGGAAGAACATTGACCACCTCTGTCACTAGTTGAAAGCTTGTCTAGCTTTAATTTTTTTTCACTTCACCCGTACAACGCTTGGATGAACGACGAAGGATAATGGAACATTCTCCCAGTATAAAATTTGAGCGCATGGACCGAGCTAGCAGCGGACATGGGCACGTACACGTACTGTCGCCGAGTTGCCGCCGTGTCGTCTCGAGTATCCTGGATCCACCTCGATGAAACGCCTGCAGACACGAGAAACAAACAGAGGAGCAGGACAGGAGGCCGACACGCGGGCAGCTCCGCATGATTACGTCAAACAGAAGGGAAAAGCGCAAACAAGAATCCCCCACGCTGCGGTGGCTCGTAGTCATCATGGCTACCGTGCGCCGGGGCTCATGATACGCCTCGGGGCTGGTGGCGCGACTGGCGAGAGCCCCCAGGCAGATATAGGCCTCCTGCTGCCGCCTCACCAGGGAGGATCGGGGGCAAAAAGCGCACGCATCATTGCCTATAGAGACTACTACTGACTGCTGCTTCACCACACCAGGGCTCACACATTGACAGTTTGACACGTACAGTACGAGAGTAGAGGTAATGCGTTCTGTCGAAGTAGTAGAATAGAACATGTTTAGTGCCATTTCTTAATTGGAAAGAGTACATGGTATTTTGACAAGCAAACATGACATTTCTTATAGAGCTAGTATAGATTGCGTATCCACCTCGAACATCCGATCCACAACGTGGCCTAGAGCTGGCACGCTATGCATAGTGGTCTCCCCCGAGCGAGTGCGCAGCGTGAGATCGAAGCCGGCCGGCATGAGAAGTAGAGTAGTGACCTCCATGCCGTGGGCGGAGCCAGCCAAAGCAACAACGCACACGGGCGGGGGCGTGGTAGCTCGCTCGCCGCCAAAAGCGGTAGAGAAACTCTCAGTTGCTTTAGTGTTTTTTTTTACATAGGAAAGACTATGTACCTTAAGAAGCAACTTATAATTCGAAACAAACACAGTAATTGTGAGACATATAAACGATGGAGATTTCACCTTTACGGTAACAATTCACTTTTACGGTAAACCAGATGTAGCTTATGTGGCGAAATGATAGGTTAGATTACTGGGGCAGTACGCCTGCAATCTCAGTGCAGTACTCCTACCCCATACTCATGTTGGATGGTCACCTCAAGTTCGTATCATGGTGCGGGCCCCACACCAAAAGTATAATGCTGCATAATAAGACACACCCACAACAGTTGTAGACAAAAAACCTTTTCTGTAGCATCTACTAGGCGTACTATGTGGCGGTGAAGGGTTTCACGTCAAAGATGAGGATTTCCGGCCACAGCTAGCCAGGGGTGAGCTCGCCCACGCGCTTGAGTGGTGTGGCGGTGGCGCTCGCAAATCGCAATGCTGCTGCTCCCCCACTCCACTACGCGCTGCGTGCTCGCTCGCACTCCCACTCGTTCCGTGTGCAGCGCTCGCGCTCGGGTTGGACGCAGAGCCGGAACAAGGAACGGAGCTGCTGGTGCTGGCCTCGGCTCCGCTCCGCTCCGCCCGGCGCTCGGTCGTCGCGGCAGCCGTATGATGATGGCACTTGACGGCGATGATGGCTTCCACGGCGGACCGACAGGGGGCACGCCGACGAGGTGGAGTGTGCGCCCTGGGAGCGGGCCCTGGCCCACGGCCCACGGGGCACGCGGGCGGCGGCTCGCTCGAGCGTCTCTGCGTCTGCCCGATCGAAGCCGAGCTGGGATTGCGATTACGACTTACGAGGTCGTAAGTCGCCACTGCCATGACAGCCTCCGGTGCTTCGGACGGGCTCGGATTATCATTAACCTCTGTCCACCAATCCAATGATAGCCTGATCACGCCACTGACATGCAAAGTAATCCTTTTTGTGCCCTACTATTATACAGCGTTTTGTGTCCTACTCTCGTTGGCCGCCGCAGTAAAATAGCAGCATGTTCGGCAGCATGTATCTGGCTTATAAGCTTTGCCTTATCACCAACGAATAATATTTTTTTTCTCACACCAAACCAGTCAGCAGTACTTTTAGCCATGGCTTATAAGCCAATCCAGCCGAAACGAACAGGCTGTAGAGGAGAACTGACAAAGTCGAAATAATCACGCCACTAAAATGCCCTGTTGGCTTCGTGAAATTTGGCTTATACCGATACTTATACTGATTTGTTATGAGAGAAAAACACTGTTCGTTTGGAAAGTACTGCCGAAATAGTTCAAGCGATAATGTGATTCTAAGAAAAAATAATAATGATACTTGCTGGGGCGGATCTAGAGGGGGCTGGGAGGGGCCCCTACAGGTTGTGCATCAATGAAAATATGGGGAGGGTGAGGAAGAAGAAGAGGCGGATGAAAGAAGAAAAATGGAGAGAGAGAAAGAAAAAGAGACCAGTCCCCTTCAATCATGTTCCGCATCCGCCACTGGATACTTGAAATCTATTGCTATTTTTTATGTTCAAAGAGCGTGATTCTGCAAGCGTATAGAAAAGTACATTATAGCATTTTACCCTGGAGTTATTCTGCAAGCGTATAGAAAAGTACATTATAGCATTTTACCCTGGAGTTTTTCAATGTATCGTCTTTGTTTTATCCATAGGGAAAGCTATGGCTAACAATATTGATAGATGTGGAATTTTGATTATATCGCACTTAATATATCAATGTATAGTCGGTGTAAACGATAACAGTTAGATGATGTGACATAAGAGTATGAAGTAACTCAAATAACTAGATACAAGTGAGGTATAGCAAGCTTGGGAGAGCAACAAATGAGCACAAAGTTTCCTAAAATCTACTCTACTTTTATGGGCTGGAAGTACTAGAGAACCTAAGTATTGAGAAAGTAGGCAATTTCGAGATTAAAACCAAAACATTAATTATGACGACGATCTCAGATAGCATGTGAAGCCTAACATATTAGTTAGATTGG